CCCCCCCCCCCCCCCCGGGGGGGGTGGGTGGGGGGGGTGGAAGCGCCGCCACCATTATCCGTCCCCGCTCCGAAAGTCGCTTCCCCGCCTCCCTGCCGGAGCCGGAGCCGGAGCCCGGGCGGCGGCGGGGCGCGGAGCGCCGGAGGAAGTGCGGGGTGAAAAAGAAAGAGAAACAGGCGGGCAGGGCTCGCCCGGCCGCGGCGGAGCGGCCATCTCGGCTGGGAGCGGGGCCGCATCCATGGAGTTACCGAGCGGGCGCTCCTAAGGAGGGCCCGGGCGGCGCGGCCCCGGCAATGACACCGGATTGAGCCGCCGAGGGGGCTCTCCCGGCCGGGGACTGCGGGAGCATCCCCCGCCCCCGCCTCCTCCCGCCCGTCACCCCAGAGACCGGCGCAACTCCGGGCGGACACTCTCCTGGCCAAGGTAAAGGCTCGGCGGGGTGGCGGCGGGAGCGGGCTGGGTTTGCAGCGGATGGTTATTTTGCAGCTCCCCCTGCTTTTGCTGTATTTCTGTCTTTTTTCTTTTATTATTTATTTTTCACCCCCCTCCCTCTCCCGGCTGCCGGGCGGGGGATGTGCAGCATTCCCGGGGCGGATGGCGCACGGTGGTCACTCTCCTTTGGAAGTGCGGGAGGGAGGCGGCGGGGACGTAAACAAGAACTTTTCGAGGCTCGGTTCGCCGCTTCGCCCCCTTTATCCCCCCGAATTAATGACTGCGGCAGCGGCCCCGCGCCCTGCCCTGCCCGCCGGGAGGGGAGGGGGCGGCCCGGCGGCCCGCGGGGCTCGGGCGGGCTCCGCTCCCGGGGCTGTGCGGGCTCGGCGCGGGGCCGCGGAGCGCGGCGGGGCCGCGGGCGCGGAGCGCGGCGCGGGGCCGGGATGGCGGTGCCCGGGGGCGTGGCGGCTGCCGGCTCCCGCCTGCCCTCCCCTTCCTCCCCCCTTCCCTTCCCTCCCCACCGCGGGGCTTTCCCCGCCGCCTTCCCCCGCCGCACCGCGCTGGTGGGTCCCGACGCTGCCGGCCCCGGGGGGGGGTACCCGCCGCTCCCCCCGCGGCATCACCGCGCTCGAAAACATCCCGCGTTCCGCCCTCCTTTCCCCGCGCTGTGGTCCCCGCGGGGCGGCCCCCCCTTCTCCCTCCATCCCCGGCCACCTGCCCCCTCCCCGGGCGCTCTCCCGCATCCTCCGGGGATCCAGCGGCGCCCCCGCCGCGCTCCTGCCCCTTCCCCACCTGCCGAGCCGCTTCCCGCCCAGGGTGCGGGGCTGGGAGCCCCCCGCGCCCGGGGTGGGAGCAGCGAGCTGGAAGTTGGGAAGCGCTGCAAAGGCGGGAGGCTGCTGAATTGTCAACCTCGGAGGGGAAAAAAAAAAAAAATTATATATTTATCTCTCGCCATACCTGCACATCCTGAGCGCTTTTTGAGTGGGAAGGGAAGGATGGCATGGCACTCACAGGGAAAATTCCCAGCGCCTTCTCAGCACCCACAGTGATAATTGTTTGCTGAAGGGTTTGAGCCAGGACCCTCCGACGGCTGGGACATTTTTAGGAGGAGATTTTGCTTGAGAGAAGAAAAATTCAGTGATCTCAGCCTTCTCCCCGGGGGTAAGGAGCCCGGCTCTTAGGAATGATGTTTGACCTTTAAGCATTTATTGGCTACTGGGGTTAAAATAAGCTTGAGATAGAAGTAAAAATAGCTTGCAGAAAGGTTAAATCGAAGGTTAAATTTGTTTTTCCTAGGAAAATTGAGGCTTGATGTTCAAAAATGTAGGCTTGGAGCAAAGGATGGAGGGTACATGTTAGGGGGTCTGTAGGCAGGGAGATGCAATTCCTTTAAAGTATCGATGGCTGCTGATAGTGTTTGACACCCAAGTTCTGAAAGCTGATGGGTGGGTGGTCCCCAAACTATTTAGATGTGGTCTTTGCCTTTCTGTGGGTGTTCCGTACAAAGATCGGAGTGCCCATAGCTCCTGTTGATTTCCTCTGAGCTGTGGATGCTCAGAGACCTGCAGGATGGGGCGTGGAGCCGTGCCCGGTGTCCCTGCCCGGTGTCCCTGCCCTCACCCTCCCCCCCAAAGGCAGAGATGTTTCCAGTGCCCTCAGTAACCTTTCTGATTACCTGTGCTCTGTCTGGGCTTGCTGAAAAAAAATAGATAATTAGAGGGTAACGAGTCAGAAGAGGCAAGTGGAGTTATAAATGTGAGTGGTAAAGAAAAAAAAATCCCCTTGTAGATGTGGAGAAAGGCAAAGCACAGGAAGTAAACGAGGGCTTGTTTTGTTTTAAATTGAAATGAGATTAAATTTTGCCCCAGGGAGCCAAGACAGCCAGCAGAGTTGGTGTGGAGGAGAGGAGGGATGCCTCGCTCCTCACTGGGTACCTGAGTTTTTGCTGCAAAGTTGGGGCTGGCAACAACCTGTGGAGGAGGCGAGGGGCAGGCGAGCCCCGGCGGGCAGGGACAGGCTCCCACTGCCCGGAAAATGGGTGTTCTGGGTACCAGGATCCTGCCTGT